TGAGTACACAGCAAAACCATGCTTAGAGTATATATATTTCATATACTCTAAGCATGGTTTTGCTGTGTACTCACCCAAATAGTTTCTAATTCTTTAAATCCATTAAACACAACAAATAGCTTCTCTGTCACTAATTATTTAACTTCGTAGCCATATTATACTTAAACTGAGACCATAAATTATTCATTAAGGCGTATGTATGCCTTTTAAAAAAAAATAAAAATAAAAATACTTGCAAATGGCAAGAATTTCTTCTTGCCAAAGGCAAGCCTTGCTATTGCAAGTGCATTATCTAACGTCCAATGAATGCAGTTCTTGAGATTTATAAAAGGACCGGGTCCCAAAACTGATCAAGGATTTAGGTCCTAAAATAATCAAGGATTTAGGTCCCATATATCTATCATGTGATTTAAGGATCGAATCCTTACAGATCCTTGAAAGGATTGGTTAGGATCGGTCAGGATTCGGTCCCAAAGGACCGATTAACATCCCTATTCTTCCAGTCATACTACATAAGAACCCAATTTTCAATACTAATATTATTTTAAATTTTATTTTGAATATACTAAAATAGTTATACAGCTAATATGAGTTTTAATTGAATAATTTTTATAATATTTTTGGCTTTATTTTCTAAAATACAATTCAATCTTCAAGGAACCAATATTTAATATCATTAGTTTCTTCTTCAGTCAACTTTAAGGTTTCTTCTTTTTTGTCTTTTTTGTTCCAAATAAATTCGCAACTATCAACTGACCAAGATTCAAATCCGCTTCCAATTAGTTTTGGAATATCTGGATATGGTTTTGATCTCATTTTTTCAGATTTTTCTTTCCACGAACCTGTGATAGATGGATCATCATAGAAATAGATATACTTTACTCTTATTTTATCCTTAAACTTGGAATCTAATTCATTAAATTCAAGTGATTCCTCAAGAAGTGCAAAATCATGAACCAAGTCAATTTGATAACGATATACACCACGTTTACTATCTTTGACAGCATCTGAAAAAGCGTCACTTTTATTTAAAAGAAACGGTCAGTGAGAAATAATGATGTTAATAAATAGATTATAAGATCGGAAACATACCCCATAAATGAAATGATTACATTTTGTAATATAATCACAAAAATAAAGCTGCCAATTACACCAATTACAGTAAGTGGCCAAAAATTCCATGCATCTAATGACGCTGAAGACCAATCATATACCGCAAGTATGGCACCAATAATATTGGAAAATGGATTATCTGATCCCTTTTCAGTCATAGTATAAACTACATTTCCCTGAGTAATTCCATACGTTGTTGAAGATTGACTTAATCCAATGTAATATGGATAACCAAGAAAAATAAATCTAGATATAAATAATTGATATTTTAAAATTTTATGAGTTACAAAGTCATAAATGAATAAATTCAGATATAATACTTACAATGCATGTCCCTGATATTGCAGTATAATAATTAAATGTAAATATCGTGTTAATATGACTAAAGGTTAAAAAATACTCGTCTAGAGATAATGATTGTTACCATTCCAATGATAGTTAGAATAAAAAACAATAAGAATTGTCGTATGGAAATTATAATATTAAAGAGTATATTAAGATTATGCGCAAAACCTAAATTTGTATAATAATTATACATAGTATAAGCTTAAACAATAATTGATAAAGAATTATCATCAAATGCCTTTACCTTCACGTATACGCAATATTAAAATCTGATAGTAGCATACAAAATAATAGTTAAAGGCAAAAAATAAATGCAATAATATTGAATATAAGATTGATAACAAGCATATACTTACAAACTCATACCAAAGAACTACAATACTTAAGAAAATAATAAAAGTTAGACTTTGACTGCTTTCTGCATTTTTAAACCCATTTTCAAATGTGTAATAACAAATCAAAATATAAGTAGTGATAAATATCGGTATAATAATTGATAAAACATCTACAATATTAAAAAGATCTAAATATAGAATTCTTTTGCGATAAAATTGATTAAGTTCAATCACTATATGATAATACGAGAAATAATAAAATAATATAATAGTAGTAATTATCATAATATGTTGAAGTACACTAGTTAATTGAAGATGTGCAATGTATGCCCAAGAAATAATTGAATAGGTTAAAAAGTACAGAACAAAAAAATACAGGGTTCTAGGCCAATAGAATTTAGAAGAATACCACATCCAATTCATGACTGCACCCATAGATGGGTTTTCATATAAAATTTCACGAACGTCAGGGTCATCTTTTTTTATGTTTAATGAAGGGAATGTAATCTTCCTCTTTAAGAGATGAATATTGACTTGGAAAAATTAAAAATCTTAGATATCTTAAAAGTTTATTTTTTTTTACATCTGGTAACGTTTTTTTGTTTATTGTGAAATCTATTAATGGCACCATTCAAATATCAATAATTTTATCATAACTATGAAAAATTTAAAGTGAGGTTGAGTTAATTTGTAGTAGAATAACAACAGACTTTAATATAAATTGTTTTCATACTCGATCTCTTGTAGCTTCAACTCAGAATCTTGTGGGATAAATTGTGTTATAGGATGTCTACAACTGTATTCATCCATCCAATATTATCAACTGCATTATTAGAATAGTATTCTAAAAAAAAGTGACAGCATATTGTGATCTTAAGGAAAATAAGACGTTAATATTTAATGTGTGTGATAAATTTACATGTAGTTGCGCAATTTTAAGTATACACACCCCTAAGTGCGTTATGAATAGTACTTTGTTTGCCTGACCAAGAAAAATATTGGGGCACATGAATCAATTGTTCGGAAGATAATATGTCATTTACGAGTTCATAATCCGCTGTTCTAATAAGAATACTCATTAAATCAAAGCGAATATCTAACAACCGCCAAGCGATTGGATGCAATCTAATAAATCTTAATATTATTTTTCGTGTTTGTTCAATGAGATAATCGAATTTTAATTGTCTATTTTTATCATAAAACTGTTTAACAAATTTGTAAACAGTGAAATAATGAAGTGTTTGACAAGCATATTTTACTACATTTAAAATATCATCTTCGTCCTCCATTTTAATTTCATCTTCTGTTTTAGTTTCATCTTCCGTTTTAGTTTCATCTTTCGTTTTAGTCTCATCTTCCGTTTTACTTTCATTCATTTTAATTTCATCATTCGGTTTAACTTCATCTTCTGTCTTACTTTTATCTTCCGTTTTAATTTCATCTTCTGCTTTAATTTCATCTTCTGTTTTAATTTTATCTTCTATTTTACTTTCATCCGTTTCAGTCTGAAGAGAACTTTCAACAAAATCAACTTTTTCAGTGCTGAATTTAAGCTTGAATTTTCCAATACAATACTTGATCTCTATCACTTGAATTCTTGTATTATAAAAATTGTCCAAGTCAGAGAACAATTGAGATAAAGGCACATAAATGAATTCAAGGGATCTTTTTTTAGGACCTTGATCATACTAAACTTGAATTGTATGGTGTCCAATTAAAAGTAACTTCTCTTTTTTCTCATCAAGATAGAACGAATATCGTGGATGCTCAATAAATCCGAGTACTTCTAACGACCAAGGTTCAAGCACCTTGTAAAATTCATCTAACTCCGATTCATTATCGTGAAGATCTCTGATCTTATTATCGAGATCATTCCTCGAAAAATATTCACTTGATAGTTGCTTCCAATTTTGTTCACCATTTTTCTTCAAATATTTCAAATATTTATCTATAATAAAATCATCATAAATAACCAATTTATCATCTTTCTCAACAACTATGAATGAATTTGATTGTTGTATTTTATAAGGCTCTCCGAATTCTACTAATGGAAGCTCCACTTTAAATTCCGGATTCTCTAATTTAGCAGAATTTTGTAATGAGCCAAAAATATTTCAGACAGTCCATTCATCTTTTGAAATATATATAAATAACATCTCATCATTGTGAAAAAAGTCAATAAATATTTTTCCGGTTACGTCATTTATATCTATAATATCTACAAACTTTGCTACTTCAATACCACATTCGATCGAATATATTACGACCCCTTTAATGGATGACAATACGTATGCTAATAATTTTCTATTGTTTGATATTGAGTATGATAATGCAGGAACATCCATCCAGATTGATTTATATAAAATCTGTCTTTGAAAGACATTTACTAATTGATTTGTCTTTAAATCATAAAGTTCTATGTATCCGATATTTTTTTGAATAGTATCAACCAAAAAATAATGCTTATTTATGCAATATTCAATATAACCGCATGTAAACTTATATGTCTCAAAAGATGCTTGTTCAAATTCATATTCTTCACCAATTCTAATTATATTATTACTGATGGCGTTGTATATTCTTCTCGGATATTTTAATTTTTGCATATTATTGACGGTAATAGATTCATTTCTCGTATATATATGATACTTGTAGATCCCTGAAAGTGTCAAGAGAATAAGTAAGTGCCCACCAATGTTTTGAGTACTTTTGTCAATTTGTTTATCATTTTCAATTTGTTGTTTATCGTTGTAATTTTGTTGGGTATCAGGTATCATTAACAATTTGTCGGTTGTCGTTGTCAGTTTGTTGGTTATCATTAACAATTTGTTGGTTATCGTTATCAAGTTGTTTATCACAGTTTTCTTGTTCATCGTTGTCATATTTATGCGCTATATTGTCTTTTTCAGAAAATAATTTGACTATTCCACCATATTCAATTGATAATATTTTATTATCAATACTACTAATCGAATAGTCATCGTGAATAATAAAAACAAAAGTAGCTCCTTTATTTGGGGTTTCAACCAGATGTATTTCACTAGAATTGTTTTTATAATATCTCATATCTTCAATGTTGATAAAAGATATTGCTAATAATCTAAATTCTGGTAAACTATTTGATTTATCTGGCACAGCAACAGACCATCTTAATAAGTTTTCATTTTCAATATTAATCCAATTCTGTTGTTCATCAGTAAATTTAAAAGTAGTAGGAATGCTGGAAAGTTCCCTGTACGATGATTTCTGGTTATTTTCTATACCTGTATCGTTCTCTGCTTTTGAATCATCCTTTAGCTCCGAATTGCTTTTTGATGTCAAGCCTTCTTTATTATCCAATTTTTCAATAGTATACATTTGCAATTCGAATTCTAAATTAAATAAAAAACTATTAATAATTCAAATAATACAAATCATTTAACAAATTATTTCATCAAGCAGTTACAATATTACGTAAAACATTTACCAAATTGTTCTTTTAATATAAATTCAACTACAAAATCACCTTCCGGGCTAATTGCAAAATATTTTGATGGCATTCCTTCGTCCTCGTCTTCGTCTTCAAGCTTCTTTTCATCATCATCATCATCAGGTTTCTTTCCATTTTCTTCGTCTTCGGATTTTTTTTCATTTTTTTCGTCCTTGGGATTCATTTCATCCTTTTTAACTTCAAGTTCTTCTTCAATTTTGTTATCGTCTCCATTTTGAATCGTTGACGTTGACATAATAAAATAAAATTATTTTTTATAGCTACCCTTACTATCTTCTAGCTCTAACGATAAATAATCAATAAATGGCTAAATATAAGCAGAGAAAATTTCCTCGCATTTAAACCATTTTATGTGGCTCAAAATGCTTGACGAAATATTTTCTCAATACGGCTCAGAAAACCAATATTATTGTTTTATTATGCTATAGTGGCTGCTCCAAGAAACAAAATTGTGAAGGTTTGTTATCTGTTAACGTTAAAATTTGACACGTTTTCATGCCAGTAAACTTCGGTTAAGGGCGGGAATTCTTGGACACAATCTTGTAGGCTAACATGGAATGAAAATTAAATAATAATAAAAATAATAATATTAACTGAGATAATAAAAAAGAGGTCTTTTGTCAACTTATATCGCTATCATTATACAGTATAATATTATACAAAACATATCAGGGGGGTGATTACATCTTTGAAACGGATCATGTAAATAAAAATTTGTTTTTATTGCTTGGTGTCAAAGACTAAACCTTGCGAAACCCCAAATCCACAGATAAATGACGGAACCCAAATTCTGATGAAATCAAAATCCGGAGGAATCTAAACCTATTAAGCCATTTCCATGATCACAAAAAATAGGGCCTTGATTGAATGTGTGCCAGGCCAGGTTTGTGGCGCAGATTGTCTGAACTACGAATCAGATTTCAAGATCAGGTGCAAACAAAAACGAACGACTGTTTTGTCAACAAAAATTTTCCTTGAGTAATTTTGCTATATAAACAAACTTTAAAGAATTTTGACAATGCCACAAACCTGTCATACATTCAAGAATTGCCTTGAATTTATGATATTAAGTAGTGTTATTATTAGGCATAAAATGTGGCTTATACGTGTGAAAGGCGTTATTTTATTTTTTATTTGTTCATATCTACGTATATAGGCAATATTTGAGACTATCGATATTTATTGTTAAATATCTGAGTTCTGTCAGAGAAAAATTAGATTTCGGACTTCTGGTTAGCTTTCAGGTTGGCTTTCTGGTTTATTATTTATTGCGGTGTTTACTGTCGAAATAAATTATTATTTATTATTTACTTGCAACCATCTAATCGACGGCACATATCATACGTAATTAATTTTTGTGCTGCCAGGATTTCGGCTTTTGAATATATGTAATCGATTGGGGCGTTTCACACCAACTATTATAGTGCAGCACAATATGATTGGTGCATTAAGATTTTTGATAATTTTATAAACTTTGTACACTTTTAAAATGTTGTAACTTTTGCTCTAATAGAGAAAATTCAATTCTGTAACTTGCAAATGATAGATTAATAGTTTAATTTTATTAATTTAACTAGAATTCTAAATTAATAGTTTAATTTTATTAATTTAACTAGAATTCTAAATTATTAAATTCTAACAATAAAATATTCATTATTTATAAGCTTAGAATAGATACATGCTAAAACCTACATAATAATATTAAAAATAGCAACATAGTTTTAAAATCTCTCTATTTATACACTATCTGCAAGTTACAGAATTAAAATTGTTTTATTAGGATGAGAATTATAATGTTTTACATAAACTAGCGTATCCAAGACCTATATATGAAAAATTGGATCATTGGATGAATGAAATTCGAAACAATGGGCAAACAGAATTTGTTGCACAGATTAAAAA